AAGCTTGTACACAGATGTGATGGCTACACCTGTAAAGCGAGTGGCAAATGTGACCACATGGGTAAAATTGGTCTTAATCAGCCTGTCACGCTGTGTCAGACAGTCAGGTAAAGGGATGTCAAAGCCTAATTCTCTCAGGTCACAAGGTCCCATCCCTGCACTGAATCTAGCTGTCAATTAAATGATCTAATTATGCTTCCGATTGGACGCGTTTCAGAGTTTGTCAAGGTCTTTTAATGTTGATGTATTTGACCATATGATGTATAACCATTCATACACTGAGAGATCTTTATATGGATTCAGAGAGATAAAAACAGAAAGTATACCTCTACGCTCTTAGAAAAAAAGTACAAAAGCTGTCACTGATGCGGTACCTTTTCAAATTTACCCCATTTACCTCAATTTACCCCTAAAGGGTGCATATTAGTACATTAAAGGTCCATAGTAGTACCTGAATACAGTGACAACTTTTGTAGGCTACTTTTCTTTCCTGAGTGTACCAAAATATTAATGCCATTTCATGGTAAATATATCTTATAACATAGCATGCGTTTAAGTCTTTGATATTGTTTGATATAATGGAGGGTCTGTCTGTCTGTTGTTTTGCTGTCTATTCTGCCCTCACCAGGACAAAAAAGGAGACAACAGGTGATAACTACATGGGAAGGGAACTAATCCAACAGCATATAGAGGCTGATTTACATTACATTTACACAATGGCATGACATAGTGTAGCGTTGACATAGTGTAGCGTAGACAATATTCAACATATAACAAACATCTAAAATATGTGTTATCATAAGAACATAGAATAGTTTAAACATTTACAATAACAACTTACATATAAATTGACTTTCAAACATTAACCTATAGAGATTTAGTCACTGTATTTAAGTAAAAATGTGACAACTAGTCCTCAGTCTTTCGGGTCACTGAAACTCAGACAAGCATAAATGATTGTAAACCACTAATTATAATAACTGTATTAAATATTGCTGCACTATATTAAATATGGTACATAATTAGTTACAAATTATGCTGCATAATGCACATATTCAACTTTTTTTTAATTATTAATAGAGATAATCCAGTGCTTTGTTGTAGTATTATGTTGTGTTACTTAATATGTACTTGCCTTCTGTTTTCAGCTTTGTGCTTTAGCAGTGTTAGCTATACGTGCCTTCACTTTATATAATAATCTATATTGAATTGTACATATTGACTTTGCTTGCTGTGCTGTTTTTGTTCTTGATCAACAGAGAATCTTTAATCCTCAGGCAATGTATTTCCCATGTTTGTACACCAGGGGGCAGGTTTGCATAATACAAAAGCTAAACAATGTTGTAAAGAATGCTTTGCAAAAAAATAAAAAGTAATAATATTATTATTACATAACTGAATATAAGAATATGTCTTTGAATTGCACATTCACGGTCAAGTTCCAGTCAAAGTTCTGGGTAGGCAATCTGTGCTTGTAATAATATGGGTACATCATTTGGAATCAATTTTGTGATAGTCACACAATTATATTGCATTAACTTATTAAAGTTCTGTAGAGTAGTTAAAAATTCAATCAAATGACAGTTGAGCAATAGATGGGAGTCAAACACTTATCAATTACATTGTTCTTGAATGGAATTTAAAACCTAGAGAATCTTTCTCATTAATCAAGCTATATAATATCAAAAATTATTGTGAAAGAATGCTTTGATAATAATTGAAAAATTAATTGCTTGAAATCTGCAGGGAAATAACACTTAATGACATTGCAGTTAGAACGAGAGCAAACTTTTTCTGATTCCTCTTGACCGGAATGCTGTTTTGAAACACACTTTATAATCTATACACTGTTTATTTTGTGATCGTTTCTTTCTGAAAGTTTCCATCTCATATGCAATTAAGAAAATTAGGAAATCTGGCAATATGTCTCATTTTGGATCTATCAGTGCATCGGTTGTATCTTCTCGTGCCATTTTAATACACTATCCCTGCCAAATCAAAATATAACTGAACAGCTGTTCAAGAGCAGAAATGTTATAACAAATAAACACAGCTGATGCAACTGTAACTATTGGGACTATGACTCCAAATCAGATCCAGATTAATCATAACCCACGGAGCACCGTAGAATATGAGTTTTGTGTCAGAAACAAAATGATTCATGAGTTCATTCTGTTCATTCTAAAATGATCCCTCAACAGCTATTTACTATTGCTTATTTATTGCAGGAAAATAGTTTCTGCACAACTTTTTTTCTTCTTCTAAATTTGTTTATAAGTATCCTTCCTGTCCTCTGGATGTAAAACATGTGCTGTCGTGTGAGAATAAAGAATATCGTGATCATTGTACCTACTATTTATAATTGCGCTCGTAATGCTTGGACACTTCTATGGCTATAGCCTACTAAAAGGCTCTTCAATTAGCCTATTGTATTCTCAAGTATTTGATATCTATCATAATTAACTTTTTAAACATATTTTAACTACTGCATGTATGTATAATGTATGTATGACTAACCTGTTTTATTGAATGGCTTTCTAAAGCAATAAACCACGAAGCTGTGGACTGCTTCAAGATTTTTACTTACTGCAGTCAATTTATTATGTAGAGAATCAATGCAAAACACAGAAAATCTGTGCAAGACCTGAATTTATTGACTTTCACTTAATAAAGGTTATAGATCCCATTAAAGAACCTTTATCCATCGGCGCCACTGAAAAAGCGGCGACCCATAACCTGCAGTGAATGAATATCAGATGTGATATTTCAACAAATGGATCTGATTCCTTGCGGCTTTCTCATCATTCAATAAAATATGCTTTATATTTGTTGACGCAGATACCGTTTCCCTGGTTACCATCCACAAAGGCATTTTCTTCCATCTCTTTGTGTTGTCTCTTTATTTCTAAAGGCTGAAGAATATGAACATTATGAAAAGTTAATTTCTGAATTCCACGAGTCCCATGCTCACTGATCTGAAATCACGACAGAGCTCTGAAAGGGATATTAAAATGCTGTGTTCTGTCGCTCTTCTAAAAGACAAATGTTTTAGGTGCATCTGTCCTTGGTAAAGCAACAGGAATTTGCCAATAAATATTAGGCTATCCCACACCACTGGTTCAAAAATAGATTTGTATTACTTACATACAGCTCATTTCATTCTCATCTGCTTGAGTTTTACCCCAAGGTACAAAATAATGAAAGCATTCGAATATTTGAGCCAAACGCAGAAAACTACTAAAAATAATTCTTTCACCTGGGATCTCTTGTGTTTGGCCATTACCATAATTAATTACATCATGTAGTGTGTGAGAGTACCTGCAATAGAAAAAAAGGATCATGAATCTGTTTATTTCCTCAGTGAGTCAGATATTTTGCTGTCTCTTTCTATCCCTTTCCATCTCTGCTAAAGGGGAAGGTGCCATTTAGGCAGGTGTCACATCCATTATTCATGTCTCCACTCCACCAACAAATTTCTTACCTGACACTTCACTTCAATTAGCCCTGAAAATGTCTTTTTTTTGTTGCTGTGTGTTGCGAACTCAAAAGCACTCTACAGAGCTCCATTTTCAGCCAACTGAGCCTTTGGTCTGTCAATCTCTTGTCTGTGTATTCATTGCTTTCAGAACGTGTTTAAGTGCAGCGCGATAGAATGAACAGCTAAATCAAATAAGGCACAGTTGATTCACAGAAACATCGTAATATGAATCCACACAGCCTGAAGTCTAAAAGTATCTTCACTGAAAGTGAACAAGAGCATGGTATTGGACTTGAATAGAGCTGAATGCTTTCAACGGCTGAATTATTTTCTTTAAGGTCCAAATATTAGGCAGTATATCTACAGCTCTTCATCTGTTCTTCAGTATTTTGATCAAGATTGCTTCTATTGATATTGCCATTTCCTCTCGTAATGACGAACACTTCATATACAAGTGGCAGCGTCATACACAGATGGGAGTGAATGAAAAGCTAGGCACTTTTAAAACGTCAAGTAGCTCAGTGTAATTTTCACTGACATTATAGTGGAAATAAGTGCTGTTAATCCAACATTTTCAATTTCCAGAAGCAGAGATGACTTCAGTCAAAATCTAAATTACACAGATGGAAAGGTTCTGGCTTGGTCAGGCTGGCTTTGTTCCTTAAAATCTACCACTATGAGAATCTAATTCTCACTAACCCATGTAAAATGACAGTTCATATAACTCAGCAGTGGAGCTGTAATACATCAATCCCATGTTCACTCTCCTCAAAACAGAGACATTACTTTTTATTTTTTATAACAAGCTGTATCTTTCAGGTTAACATACATCAACAACACAAATCATCTGTACCACTCATTTGAGTCTGAGCATTGCAATTAGGAACAATAATGATCCACACTGAACAACATAAAAGGTTACCATGTGCAAAAAGGCAGCCTACACAAAATGTGCAATGTGTTTGTAAATGAAAATGTATCCAAATTCTAAAACAGAGCTATAGCAGAAAGTCTAAATCATCTTTACCAAAGGAATACTACCAACTACTGTCCATAATTCTGGGTCTTTTTGGATGTTTTCTCTCCTAAATAAGACAATATCCCATATAACCTTCCAAGAAGAAAACAACATTGGTGTTCTCAAATCTCAAAAGTCCTGTTAATAAATTAATTAATGACATAGTTTTATTCAAGTATTCAAGTTTAAGTTATATATATATATATATATATATATACACTAAATATAAACTCATATAAACTGACTGCTAAAAGCCAGACATGGTCTATATTCATTTAATGCAGGGGACAGACTGACATTTTGGCTGAGCGTTCTTCACTGTTGACACTGGGTCAAATCATCACTTTGCTTGACAGTAAAAGCCCAGACATCATTCCGTCCGTACTTGAGTGCTGTTTCTTTGTGAATCTGTGCTTTTTGAAGAACTCAGATAACCACACTTTCCCAAATCTTAAGGCTGGCTTAAACTGGCTTTTGTGGCACAGCCAAGATTTCTGATATCTCTCAGCGCTGTCGGGAGAAGAGATTTCTGAAAGCGTTATTATAGTTCTTGTTGAAGGCTGTGTAAATGAGCGGGTTGAAGAAGGAGTTGGAGTAGCCCAGCCAGAGGAAGACACTCTTCCATATTGGTGGAATGTGGCAGGAGCACAGCGGGGTGATGAGCTCGGTGAGGAAGAAAGGGATCCAGCACAGGACAAACACTCCGATGAGGATGCCCACCATCAGAGCTGCCCGCTTCTCTTTCTGCTCTCGCCACGTCTCGCTGTCGGTCTGGAATGTCACCGTGGCATGGCGTACCGTGAACACCATCTGAGGCTGTTGCCTGGAGGCCTCTTTCACCTGAGGGAACAGATGTGTCTTACTGTCATTACTGCTGTGAGTGGATCAGTCAGAAGCTAGATTTAGGTCAAATAAACCACAGTATTTAGTTTTAAAACTAGAACACATAAAGGTAGTGTACATCCCTACAGGGTGTAATTTTATTCAGATTTTTAAAATAAAATAATTTATTTATGCAATATTACACGTAGTCCTCATAGATTATATGTGAGCCTCAGCAATGTACACTTACCATTTAAAAGTATAGGTGTTTTAGAAAGAAGTCTCTTACTCTCACCAAGGCTGCATTTATTTGATGAAAACTACAGTCATATTGTGAAATATTATTACAATTTAAAATAAATAAGTTATATTGTAATATATTTTAAAATGAAATTTATTCCTGTGACGAAAAATCTGAATTTACAGAAGTCATTACTATCACACGGTTCCTCAAAAATCATTTTAATATGCTCATTTGGCTCTGTCGTAAATATTTGTTATTAATATCTATGTTGAAAATAGTTACTGCTTAATAGTAACTGTTTGCGGAAAACATGATTGTATTTTTTTCAGGATTTTTTGTTGTATAGAGAGTTCAAAAGAGCAGTATTTATTTAAAATAGCAATCTTGTGTAAAATTTTAAATGTCTTTACTGTCATTTTGATCAATGTAATGCATCCTTACCGAATACAAGTATTAATTTACATAATACTGAAAAAAATCTTAGTGAACTTTTGAATGGAATAATTCAAATGGGATAATTCTTAAATTATTTTATTACACTGATAATATAGATGAAAATAAACAAAAACGACAAGCAAAAGCTACTGAATCCAATAGAAAGATTTGGACCCTGCCCATGCATGCAGTTTTTTCCGAGTCATTCTTTCTAGGGTTACGATAACATAATATAAAAATGCATAGAACTTTTGCGGTATTGGAATGGCCATGAAAATTGAAGGCATTTAATCGTAAGCTTTTAATCCCTTAAAGTCTCTGTGTCAAACCTTTGACAATCCCTCCTAAACCCACTGAAATAGAACAGGATGGTAATAGAGTGGAAAATAATGTAGATCTTATCTAAGGGAGGTGTCAGGAATACTATTCGCTAAAGTGTTGTGACATGCTCAGAGATTATACCATGCTGTTCAAGGTAGAGCAACATAATGGGACATTCAAGTTCAGTCGGCTATTGAATTGCTGTCTAGTAGGGCTGTCAAAATGACTGAAAAACTAAATTCGAATTTTCTACTTAAATATGATCAAAATTCGAATTACCGTATTGTCCCGAATATAAGACGATATTTTTTTCTTGGGAATACATCTGAAAAAACGCGGTCGTCTTATATTCAGGGTCTAGACTTTGACATGTCAATAATACACCCACAACACTAGGT